CCACTCTAGGAACAAATTCAATGGTGGCTATCCCTCCCCGCCCCACCTCCATACCATGCATGACATCCTTCTGCATCGATAGTCGCTGTCCGACTTTGCAGCGCACCTGCAACAGTCACGGCTGCACAGAAACAGCAGCAGGCGTCTGAGAGCCCTCGATGCGCACGCGTGCAAAGACGGCGTCTTTCTATATAGGGCAAAGCAGCAAATGCCGGAATCCGGCCTCCGACGACGATACCGCCTCCCTCCCCCCTGTCTGCTGTGCATCCATTCAGCTGCAAGTGGCCGCCCCGAAGTTCGGCATCGCCGCCCACGTGGAGGCAGCCTCCGTTGCCTGCATCCTTCTCGAACCCGCCCTCAGCCTGGTTCTGGCAGCCCTGAAGGCTGAGGTGTGCTTCGGGCTGTAATGTAAAGTTGCCGTCGACGGTGATGCACGAGCCCTGCATCTCGCCGTCGCCGACGGCCTTTACGCTCAGCTGGCCTGCGAAGACCGCGTCGCCCTGGAAACGCACGGGGGTCGAGAGGAGCAGCTGGGCACCTCGAAAGCAGGATGGCCACAGCTTGAACTCCGTCCCCGCCCTCTCAGGCTCCCACTGCCCATCACCCGGCACGAAGGCCCCTCCACGAGGACCACCTCCTCCTGATCCTTCACCTGACAGAGTCACGCGCTGTAGAGCTGGGGCTTGCATGGTGTAGGTTGAAACTACAGTAGCTATACATCGCCACGAAGCGCTGCACCGATCTAAACCCGCTAGCAGGCTGGGGACATCACACACAGAAACGATAAGGTGTGTCATGTGGAGTGCTGTTGGACCCTTCATTTCCGAATCCTGTTTCGGCAATGGGTTTCAAGACAGTGAAAAGGCGAACGCACGGCCATCGCTGTATGTTCACGCCCGAAATTCCTTTTTAACCTTATAGAAGCCCGAAACCCACGAAACCCCAATAAATCCTGGGCTTTGAAGTAACCAGGGAGAAAAAAGTATAGACTTTTATTTCATAATGGTTCCTTTAAGGAACAGGTCCCAAAAACAAGTATTAAAGTATGGTACTCCAAAGCCCAGAATCTTAAAGATCCCTAAACCCCGGCAAGGCCCAACAAAAAACAACACACCGCCATATGGGCCTCGTAGACTCCGTCGAGCTGGAGGCTGC